ACACATCCTTTTGTCATGGTTTTCTTCAGGTAGCTTGGTGGATAAAATGTAGAAAAATAGGTTATGTTATAATTTAAGCCCAGAAAGATACAAATCTGCTTTATTTTGAGTAAAATTTTTGGTTTGGATCCTCTTCAATAGATTTTCCAGTTATTTTACAGGTGATTTCTGTGTAAAAGAAATAAAAAACTATGATCTTACCTGGTGAAGATGCCTCTGATCAAGGAAGCAAAGTTTGTCTCCAGTGTCCTAAATAGTTCAACACCTTTAATCAGTCAGTTTGATTTTCTAAAGTTCCTCACATTGAAATTTTCTTTGGATAGAACTCAATACGTTTGCTCAGTAACTGTCTGAGCATTACGATTCGCTCTGGTCACCTGTAGCAGCTGCCCCAAGGTGGGAGAATCCAGCTCTCTGATTGGCTGAGACTGTCCAACGGCTTTAACTTCATTTGTCAGTGAGGACTTTGGCTGCAGGTGTCAGGCCAACTCCGCGTTCCTTCAGATACGTTCTAGTCCTCGTACACCGTTTGTACCTGATGCTGAAGAATAAATGTCTGTCCCAGACTCTGGACCTCTCTCCCCCTGAACCTGAGATCAGTGGACTCAGTGGTCTCCTTTAAAAAGCAGCTGAAGACTCACTTGTTCAAGCTGGCTTTTGTATGACCTTCTTCACCTCTCTCTCTTTATTCTGCTCTCCCCACCTATTCCACCTTCCTCACTGATTTCCCTCTTTCCTGTCCACTCTCTCTCTTTCTTTACACTTTTTTAATCACAATTGTCTATTTTTGCTCATTTTAAATATATTTTTAACCATTTTCTAAATGCTTTTTTATATTTTTACATTTTTTGTTTTTGTGAGGCGCCTCGTGATTTTTATCTTGAGAGGCGCTATAGAAATGATATTTTCTACTTCTTCTTTTAAAAAACGATCTTTTATAAAGCAATTCTCAAAATAAAAATCACGAGGTGCTTCACAAGAACAAAAATAAAAAATATGTTAATTAAAAAATATGATAATGTGAAAAATTAAAAAATTGTGATTATAAAAATGTGAAGAAAGGGAAAGAGAAAATGATAAAGAGGAAGTCAGTTGGTCCTGGGAAAGGTGGATTGAGGTGGAAAGAGCAGAATAAGGAGAGGGTGGAGGTGAAGGTCCCACCTGGGGTTGTCACGATACTAAAATTTCAAACTTGATTCGATACTTGAATAAAAACTCGATACTCGATTTCGATACTATTTAAAAACACCAATTTATTGAACAAGTTTATTCAAAAAAAAAACATTCCTCAATTTATATTGTAAATATTAAATGTTAAGAATTAAGTGTGTAAAGTGCTTAAACCTTTCAAGTATCAGCATTTTTTAAAACGTGCATACAAAAACTGGTGAAAGTTAACACTTTAAATCATGAATTGTCTCACTATATATACACTATTTGCAGAGTGATGTTTTCCAATCCAATCCAATCCAATTTTATTTATAAAGCGCATTCACAAGGCATTACAACCAGACAAGGCGCTGTACACTAAAAATGTTGGTTAATTAAACCGGCGTTATACAAACATGTCGAACACAGATAAAAGATAAAAAGGAAATACAACAAAATTTCCAAAAATAACAGCTAAAAATCAATAAGACACAGGGTGAAGTAAAAATAGGAAAAAACATTTTACAAAGAACCTCACTAGTACGGAAGTCGATAATTGTGGAGTCAGTTTATAAACAGTGCAGATGTCAGTGAGGTTCATAATTATGTGGTGTAAGCTAGGTTGAAGTAGTGAGTTTTCAGGCGTGATTTAAAAATGCTAGCTGTTGGTGCTAGCCTCACTAGCAGTGGTAATGCGTTCCACAGCTTTGGTGCACAGACAGAGAAAGCCCTTTCTCCACGGCTTTTTAAACGTGCATTGGGAACAGCTAGGAGGAGCTTATCTTCAGACCTGAGAGCACGCGGCGGGTTGTAGTAATGGACCAGTTCACACAGATATGGAGGAGCTTGATGGTTCAAGGATTTGTAAGTGAGAAGCATAATTTTGAAGTTTATCCTGAACTGCACGGGCAACCAGTGGAGAGATTTCAGAATTGGAGAAATGTGTTGTCTTCTGTCAGCTCCAGTCAGCAACCTAGCTGCTGAATTCTGGACCAGCTGAAGTCTAGAAAGAGCTGCTTTACTGATGCCATATAAGCAGGAGTTAGAGTAATCCAGCCTTGAGGTGATAAAAGTGTGGACCACAGGTTTCAGAAGACGGACACTCAGGATGTGCTTTAGTTTCGAGATGTGTCTTAGTTGGTAAAAACATGATTTAACTGTGTATTGACCTGGGCATCCATCTTCAGAGCCTGGTCCATTTTTACTCCAAGGTTGGAGATTACAGAGGATACATTAGGTGAGAGATAGTTGAGGTCAGGTTGTTGAGTTGCCGTGATACTGTTAGGACTGAAAACGAATAAGTCAGTTTTGGAGTCATTAAGATGGAGGAAGTTATCAGCTAGCCATTGCTTGACCTCGAGGATACAATCAGACAGAACTTTCGTTGATTGAGTTGGCTTAAATGAAAATTAGATTTGACAGTCGTCAGCGTAAAGATGGTATGAGACAGCGTGCTTTCTGAAAATGGCTCCTAAGGGCAGTATATAGAGGTTGAACAGTAACGGGCCGAGAATTGAACCTTGTGGGACACCCCAACGTAGAGGCTGTGACTCTGATGAACAGCCGTCCAACATGACCCTAGCAGACCTGTTACAAAAGTATGACCTAAACCAATCCAGGGCAGTGCCTGAAATGCCAGCCCAAGTGTGAAGTCTTGTGATCAAAATGTCATGATCGATCGTGTCGAATGCTGCAGATAGATCCAAAAGTACCAGAACCACATGGAAACCTGAATCTAAAGCCAGAAAAATGTCATTAAACACCCGAACGTGAGCAGTTTCAGTGCTGTGCTGTTGTCTAAAACCAGACTGACAGGTGTCCATTACCTGATATTCATTTAGATGTTTCACCAACTGTGCATAGACTATTTTCTCAAGGACCTTAGATAAAAACGGTAATTTGGAAATTGGTCGTAGATTAGAGTAATCGTTGGGATCGAGGCCGGGTTTTTTCAAGATTGGTTGTAGAACAGCGTGTTTAAAGGCACGAGGAACTTCAGTTTTGCTGCTTAAACTCTGTTTAAGGTGCATTTTTGTCATAAGATGTAATGCTAATGTTTTGTTCATTACTTTTGAACAACTCTGTTGGTCAGTAAAGGGAGAAAACGAATTTCTCCACAGTAGGACAAAGGTACATCTACCGGTAATCTTAATAAAAACAGATTGGCGCACGGCAGTGACGTCATTAAAAGCGCCGGTTAGATTAGCCGCGGCTAGTCTATTTACGCCTAGAAATCCCAGACCCGCTCCAAACGAACAGGGGAATCATGTTAATGATTCCTAACAAAACCTTTCGACATGAAGATGTTTTGGTGCAGATAATGTCTTAAGTCGAGGCTGCACCATGGGTGCCCGTCCGCACCCGTTATATGGATATACACTGATGGCGATTCGCCGATGGATCTAAATACCCCAGGGAATCCAAGTAGCACCAAAGTTGTCAGCGTGAGTAAACAAACGTACTGCATGCTAGAAATTAAGACCGGGTTGCAATAAATGGGAGTTTCTTTTAAGCACATAAGCATGAATATACAACTACGTGTCGGACTTGGTATGCTAGCTTAGCTAATACTAATACGTGAGCTCAAATTTGTTGGTGCAATTAGACACATTCTTACTAGATTTAATAAATTTTAGACACCTGTTTCATTTCATCATGCAGTTTGGGGTGTCGGTCTCTCAGACGCTTGGCCAAATGTGTTGTGCTGCTGGACTTCGTAGCGATCTCTTTGTAGCACTCCTTGCAAACGGGTCTGTCATGGTCTGTTGCTTTCCTCGACTCATCAGCCTTGTATCCAAAGTGTTTCCACTCTGCACTTTTGCTCTTTGTGTTGTCGATTAAGTTGGGCTGTGAAGCGCCTCCCAAATTCGCTGTTGCCATTGTTAACGAAACTTGGATTGGAGACAACTCGCGTGGGAAATAACAATGTAGCCATGCGGCGTCTTCTTCTTCTGTTTGTCCGGGAGGCGGAGGCTGCTTTACGGCATCTGGCTGTCGTGTGTGTCGGTGAACTTGAAGAAGGCTGTGTATATGTGAGACTCCATAATATAGATACCATAGAGATGGAATATGTAATTTAGATACCACCTTTAGTATCGATTTATATCTAGGTATTGATTTTTTTGACAACACTAGTCCCACCAAACCAGAACAGGTGAGTTTTCAGCTCCTTTTTAAAGGAGACCACTGACCTCAGGCTCTCAGGAGAGAGTTTACAACATTAGCTCTCTCTTTGCCTCCTAGCTCTGTACAACAAGATGATAGTGAGACCAGACGGCTCCGTCTTTCTGCCTAATCCTCCGGCATCTGTCACATGTTTAGTGTTGGTTATCAGAGTTGTCATTTCCTCACAGACAACAAGAAGAAGCGCCGACACACAAGAGAAGAGGCGCCTGAATCTCAGCACACATGAACATTTCCACTGATTTCTGGTTAATTCTATCATAATAATTCACATTAATGTAGAAACTTTTTGTTCACTCCTGAAATTCTTCATAAAAGTGTTTTTCACTCTGAAGAGAAGGCTGTTTATCTCGTCGTCTGGATAATGAGTCGGAGAATCCAGCGCTACCAACGTTTTATTTACACTCTCCATGCAGCTCGCTGTTGACTCACTAAAACTCTGTTCACACCCTGGTATTATTGCTGCTCGGCGAACACAAACCGATTTAAATGCCCTTTTTGCTCCGTTCTCATGCTGGTCAGGGTGTACAGACTAATTGGTTTTCCCATTTAAATACGAATGCTATATTGTCCTCAATTCTGGCCGTATTCGTCCAGTTCTGTGTAAAGAACACATGAAGAGCGTTAGTTTTTCATTAAGATTAAACGACTTCCTGTTCTCTCCACAGCCATCAAGGTGTTCTGCCAGGGCTCATGTGGGATCTCCACCAAAATGAACGACTCCTCGTGGACTCTTGAGGAGCAGTACTTCAACAGCACTCTGTCAGTAGCTGATAAAGGTAATTCGAGTCTCACTGGGATTTGAAACCTCCATGTTTAAAGGGTCTGCATTGTCACGGCTACTTTAGAGCCCGGAGGTAAACTCTAGCTTTAGCTTTCTCTTGTTTCTGTCCACACTGAGGACAGAGCCGTCCTTTATGGGATGTGAGTGAGCAAAGCAAACATTTGCTGTTGTTAGGTCATAGATTTACCAGAGAAGTGAACAACTGAAGCAAACACGGCAAACCTGCTCTGTAAAAATGTCTCCTCAGAACTAATCTTTGGTTTTAAACAACTCCTGAAAGTCCATGGGGTGTTTCTCAATGTCCAGGCGCCTGGCTTACGAGGACACGGTCCTTCCTTGGTCAAAGAAAACGGTTAAATGGAACAGACTTGCATCATGTGACCGCGGCTTCCACGGCCGTCACGTAACGTCACGTGACACGGGAGACAACATTATATTTTATACGTATTAGTTTCAATATAAATATATAACGAGCCTTTCAGATCACCATTGCATTTTCTTTAACTTGTCAGTTTCTGCGTCCCCACCTCCTGCTCGCCGTCTGGTTAGTTCTCGTTTTCTTAATGAGAGCACAGCTAGCAATTTTTCTGCTGCTTTTGATCCACCCTGTTCTTCTGATAACGACCCAGATTCCTTAACTTCTCAGTTCAACGAGCACTGCCTCTCCATTCTGGACAACATCTGTCCTGTCAGAACCAGATCAGGTCCTGCAGTGAACCCTACTCCCTGGTTTAATGACAGCCTTCGCAGCCTGAAGCGCTAATGCAGAAAAATGGAGCGTTTGTGGAAGAAAACCCATCTCCACGTCCATCTGCCGCACCTAAAGGATCTTCTGACGTCCTTTAACTCTGCAGTCAGAGATGCTAGGGTTTCCTATTTCTCCAACCTGGTGTCCCAGAGCAAAGGGAACCCCAAGGTGCTGTTTAACACCATCAGCAGCATCGTCTCTCCTGCCTCTCCTACAGCCTCCATCCACTCTGTTACAGACTGTGAGAACTTTCTGTCTTTCTTTGTGGACAAAGTCAATAAGGTTAGATCTAGCATCTCTCCTTCAGCCTTATCGCCGCCTCTCCCGACTCCAACCAGGCCCATCATCCTAGATAGCTTTGCTCCTGTTTTTTTTGCCTGAGTTAACCAAACTAGTTAACTCTATGAAGACCTCTGCATGCCCCCTCCACATCTTACCCTCATCTTTGTTTAAAAGTGTTTTTCAGTCCATCGGTCCCAGCGTGCTCTCTATAATTAATGCTTCTCTGGTTTCTGGTCAGGTCCCTGCTTACTTTAAGAACGCAGTAATCCACCTGCTTCTTAAAAAACCGAGTCTTGACCCCTCTCTCCATAGCAGCTTCAGACCCATCTCTAAACTTTCGTTCATCTCCAAGATCTTGGAAAAGGTTGTGGCTAAACAACTCACAGCTGCTCTTGATGAACATAACATCTATGATAGCTTCCAGTCAGGTTTTCGTAGAGCTCATTCTACTGAAACAGCTCTTCTTAGGGTCTCTAATGACCTTCTGACCCACAGTGATGCAGGGGACTGTTCTGTTCTGGTCCTGCTGGACCTGACTGCAGCCTTTGACACTGTTGACCATCACCTGCTACTGGAGAGGCTGAGAGACTGGGTAGGCCTATCAGGATCTGCTCTGGAGTGGTTCTCCTCTTATCTCTCTGATCGCTCCTTTTCTGTGGCCGTCTCCAAGTTTAGGTCCTCCACCACCTCTCTTACCCATGGTGTCCCACAAGGTTCTGTGCTGGGGCCTCTGCTCTTCCTCCTCTATCTGCTTCCTCTTCAGCACATCCTGAGCTCCTTCAAAGGAATCTCCTACCATCTTTATGCAGATGACATCCAACTGTACATCTCCTTTAAGCCCCATGAGATGTCTAAGCTGCAGCTGTTACACACCTGCTTAGACTCTATCAAAACCTGGATGGTGGGAGCTTTCTACAGCTGAATGAAGATAAGACTGAGATCCTCATCTGTGCCCCAGACAAGCTGGTTCCCAAAGTCAGAGACTCTCTTGGTCAGCTTGCTTCCCACACCAAACCTTCTGTCAGGAATCTTGGCGTGACCTTTGACCCAGCTCTCACCCTGGATTCTCATGTCAGTTCTCTTGTTGGCTCTTCCTTCTTCCATCTCAGGAACGTTGCTAAGCTGAGTCCCATTCTGTCCCGCTCTGAACTTGAGACAGTTCTCCACACCTTCATCTCCTCACGCTTAGACTACTGTAACTCTCTTTTCACGTGTCTGAGCAGAACCTCCCTGAACCGTCTACAGGTGGTTCAGAATGCCTGTGCTCGGCTTCTGACCAAGTCCTCCAAACACACCCACATCACCCCGCTTCTCCTCTAGCTTCACTGGCTGCCAGTCAACTTCAGGGTTCATTTCAAGATCCTGGTTCTGGTCTATAGGGCCTTACATGTATAAGCACCATCTTACATTGGTGATCTTCTTAGTCCCTACACCCCCAGCAGGTCCCTGAGGTCCAGTGACCAAAGCCTACTGGTTGTGCAGCACCAGGCTAAAGGTCAAAGGTGACGGATCATCTGCTGCTGTGGCCCCCAGACTCTGGACCTCTCTCCCCCTGAGCCTGAGATCAGTGGACTCAGTGGTCTCCTTTAAAAAGCAGCTGAAGACTCACTTGTTCAAGCTGGCTTTTGTATGACCTTCTTCACCTCTCTCTCTTTATTCTGCTCTCCCCACCTATTCCACCTTCCTCAGGATCCACTGATTTCCCTCTTTCCTGTCCACTCTCTCTCTTTCTTAACATTTTTAATCACAATTATCTATTGTTGCTAACTTTAAATATATTTTTAAGCGTTTTCTAAATATTTTTTACATTTTTTGTTTTTGTGAAGGGCCTCGTGATTTGTATCTTGAGAGTCGCTATAGAAATGATATTTTCGTCTTCTTGTTTTACTTTTTAAATTGTGTATATGTTTATTAAGTAATAAATATAAGTGAGTTACTACCCGCTAGCCACCGCAGCTGCAACTACTAAGCTACTAACCAACCATAGATAACTTCTTTGGATCTAAAAAAAAACATTTTAAATTAGCTGACTTACTTTTAAACTTGAAAATTGTCCCCGAAGTAGCTGCTAGCTTCTGATCCGCCGTCCTTTTGAAAATACCGCAGTGTATTCTGGGTAATTTTTGACCAAGGCTAGGCTACAAGACACCTCCCGTGTATCCTCGCTCAGCTAGCTAAACGGCTAACAAACTGAGAACACACGCCACGGTAGAACATGAAAATTGGAACACGTCTTGGCGGCTCCTGATGACGTATCTCCTTGGCAACCGGGGCGGGGCCAAGGCATCAAGGCGAGGTTCCTTGGCATTGAGAAATACCCCTTGTTACCTTCTTTCCGTTTCTTTTCTAGTTGCGTTGTTTTTCTGTTCTTATCTTGTTACGTCCCTCTGGTCGCTAGGAGAGATGTGGTAGAGGGAGTAAGAGATGTTGTGTGTAGGTAAATAATAACAGAGTATTTTTGTCTCAAACAAAGGATTTTTATTAAACACAAAGTGCCTATAAAAGGGAAAAAGGGTTAACAAAAAGCGCCAAGCCAAAAGGGCTGGGAGGAGAAAAATATCTAACTGAAATATTTACTATTGGTAAAACACTAAATAAAAAAAAAAATACAAATACTAAACAAGAGACGTCCTGTTAAGCAGAGACGCTCAGGAGAAATCCAAAAGGGGGAGTCAAAGGCCAGTCCAAAGTCAGAGTTACCAGAAATCCTAATTATCGAGAGTAAACCACAAAATCACCAAAGTACCACGAAGCAACACACACACAAGCACTCGAGGAGAAGAGAGAAACCTGAACACCTTCGTGCCCAAGCTTCCCTGTACCTTCTCACTGACTGAGGGAGGAGAGCAGCCTTTAACAGCTGCTCCCTGATTGGAGCGATTACAAACACCTGTTACACCGGGAGACAGGCGAGGCAAAGCCACTGAGGCCATCTTGTGGCTGAAAAGTGGTACTGTACGTAACAACAGAGTAGCAAAGTTTTTGTTTTTACCTTGTCTTGCTAACAACTTTGGCAGCTTCACTAATGTGAAGCACCGATGGCCTTGGCGAAGCTCTGACGGCACTGTGAGAAGCCGAAACTGTCAGCAAAATAAGGTCAATGTTGAAACGTTGCTGCTTTGTGTTTAAGATGAGAACAGAAAGACAACAGAACTCCTGAAACGAGCTTCTGTCTGTTTGCTGAAACAGCCCATGGAGGTCAGCCATCGTCTCGTGCAGGTGAATATAAAAAGACTCACTGAAGTCTGATAAGGAGAGGAGTTCTCCAGCCGCATGCATCTTGCATCTTTGGGAACAACTTGTGTTCAAATATGTGAGTTTACAGGACCTTCTGTTGAATATGCTCTTCAGTTTTACTGATCCTGTGCATTGCAGGTTGGAAAATGCACCATGATGCATGAAACCTGTTGTAAATGCAAATCAACCAAAGAGGGGGCCACTGGAGCATGTAATCCACGCCAGTTAATACAACACAGTCCTGCTCAATGTTTAACTTATAGAAAGTACACTGACACAAATACTGCACTGAGGCAAAATGCTGTTTCAATGATACTTTTATTTTATGGTCATAGCAACAACTACTGCTCTTATTAGCAGTTACCCCGGCTTTCCACCGGAGCCGTCAGCAGCACGTTACTGCAGCAGCACGTCTTGCTCGTGTAAGCTGCTGCTTGGCCCTTCCCACGAGACGCGAAGCAGCAGGGGAGCAGCTGTCACCGACCGAGCACGAAGTAGGGCTGGGCGATATGACGATTTTAGACCGTTTTACGATCCACACATCTGACGGTCTGTCATTTTTGAGAGACCTTTTTATCACGATTCACAGCTCTGCTGTTGAATTTCTGCCTCTGAATGAAAAGGGAAGTTACCTCAGGTGAATGACACACCTTTGTTTGACCCTTAACCAATCAGAGTGAGTCATAGTAATATATTAGTGCCCCGCTTGTTTTCACCTGTGTGTGAAC